CCTGGCCGTAATCCTATATTCGTCCTCTCTACTCCGGCGCACCCCGCCGATGGGATGGGATCCGCTCTGCGACACGTGGCAAGATAAATGGATGGATGGACGTGGGTGCGCAGGGCGCAGGGCGGGGGCCGTCCGTAAACGGGAACAGGCTCTTACGTCCCCATGAAAATCGTCCCTAAGACAATTCGTCCCCACCTCTATAGTCCCGTGTCAGTATGACCCCGTCCTTGATGTCCCCATGTTTTGTCCCCGAAATCAATTTCTTACAAATTGGCGCACGTTTTCTAGTTGAGTATTACAAATTTAATATTACAAGTTACAACCCCATAGGGCAACCAAAAGACCTCAAGAAGTCAACTAGCCGTCCTTCTTTGTACCAGAGGGTCGCAACGCAGTACTGAGAGCGCGGGCAATGCGCGATCCCCGGAAATGGCCGGTCGGGACGGCGCGAATCGGCTGTTCAAACGGGCGCTCTTCACTTTAACTAATTATAACACACCGTGTGTTGCAAGTATCTTCACGACAAATTCAAATACCGAGACCAAGGGCACGAAGATTCAAAATGTGTTAAAATCTGCTTTGTTTCTCTACTTGTATTTCGTAAAACATCAAAACTAATGGCGAGAGCCGAGGAGCCGCTTCTACACTGGCTCAGTTCTTTTGGGATTCCGGACAAAATACAGCTCGAACCACGTCGGACAAGCAAGAAAAATGTAAAGGACACTTGGACGCAGTGCTTTATAGGTATTTCTTGTTAAACCCCAGCATTGAAAAATAACAATAATAAGCCGACGCCATCGGGCGCTCTCTCAGCCTCGGCTACTATCGTGAATTTTTTAAATATGTTTACAAGTTTACTCACCCTAAGCAACCTTGCCTGCATGTGAAAGGGGCCTACGCCCTGATCATAGTCCTCAAGCCCGAAGCGCCGCGCCCGCCCATCCCCAGCCTGCCTCTCATTTTAGGTATTGATGGCGCTTTAGACAACTTTGCCAACTAGATGCTCCGGCTCGGGCCCCTCGCAGCCTCCACCGCCTCCACTCTCACTGCATATCCACACTCTCGGTGTGATCGCTCCGCGGGAGGGCGTTGCCTTACCGGCACGCTCTGCACCACGCTCGCAGATTTTCTGTAAAGATCCGGAGAAAGGAATTTGAAAGTGTGCGAGTTATTCCGCGATGAACTTTAGTCCTACATTTTGAACTACTCTCATATCTGAACCTACTCTACC